TCTCGACCCTGGGACAGAACCTGGGTCGCCTGCATTGCAGGCAGATTTGCTACCATCTGAGCCACCAGGGAAGCCTGGTAGATATTTCAGTAGACATTCCTAATTAAAAAAAGCAAACTCTAGATGAAATAAAATCACTTAAGTCAAATAAGAAGTATTTACAAAAAAAAAAGGGCAACCCAACTGAATAGCATGCTTTTTAGAAGTCTGAAAAACTAAGATCATTTTAATTAAAATCAGGAACTCAATAGTGATGCTACTTATCACCATCATCATTAAACACTGTCTTAATGCTTCTATCAAATATAAAAACAGGAAAATTTAGTAACTTGCATAAACAGTGAAAAAATAAGTGAAACTGTTTTTGCTATTATCATATACCCCAAAATCTCAAAGGATGCTAGTATAAACAGGTATAAAGAGGAGTAATCAAAATATCAAGAAGCACACGGATAGAGAATTTTTAAAAAGCCTATGTCTATTGTAGCAATTAGCTATTTAGAAATGGAAATCAGAAGAAAAAAAGATTCCATCTGGTATAGCAAGAACACTCTAAGGTAATTCTTAGGAATAAATTTAACTAAAGAAAAATAAAACATATATGAAAGCAACTCTAAAGTCTTAACAAACATAAGATCTGGGCAAATGGAAAGACATACTATATTCCCAGATGTAAAGATATTATAACAATGTAACTTGTAACCTAAATTAATATATAAATTAAATGTAATTCAAACTAGAATCCTTATATAACCTTACAGGATGATGGTGAGACTGGAGAAAATAACTTTAAAAGTTTATATGGAAAATTACATATGCAAAAATAGATAAGAAAAATATGTACTGGGGAACAATGAAGAAAAAGACTTGCTTTACCAGATAATAGAACATAACTCAGTCTCTTTAACCAAAACCAAAACAGTACTAGTATAGGAAGACACAAACATCAAATTGAACAAGCTAGAAATCAATCCCAGCATACATGAGAATTTAAAAACAAAGATGGTAGTTCTACTCAGTAGGAAAATGGAAGTAGCACAACTGGCTAGCCATCTGGGAGAAAGTAAAATTGGACTGCTATCATATGCCATGTACAAAAATAAATTCCAGATGGATTAAAGATGCACAAATGTAACACATACAATAAAAATCTCACAAGGAAATGCTGGAAAGTACATTTACAAAATCTCGAGGTGGGATAAACCTCAACCAAGATGCAATTTTCTACATAAAAATTGAAAATGCTTTGTATGGCATAAAACTATAAAGTCAATATAAATCTAAAATTCTAGAAAAGTATAATTAAGTTACAAAGAATTAATATAATCATATAAAGTACTTACAAACTGGCATCTTACAATTAATAGAAAAATATACAAAGACTACAAACAGATAATTCATGGAAGAGCAAATCGCTCAAATTTACTTGTAGTCAGGGAACTGCAAACTAAAGACGTAATGGCATCATTTACATCCACTGACAGCAAAAATTATAGTGATATCAAATACTGTCTGGGATATGGGTTAATAGTCACTTTCCTACATTGCTGGTGGAACTGTGAACTGCCAAAGCCTTTCAGAGAAGCAAGCTGGATATAAGTAAATTAAATACAAAAATTAAATGGCAAGTTTAAAAAACATATTACCCTCTGATCCAGTAACCACACTACTGAGACTATTCCATAAAAGTCAGAGATTTGGAACATGTGTAAAGTCGCTTAGTAAATATCATTTAGAGACTGAAAACTGGAAACAAAACAAATGCCCAATAGGAGAATGTGGAGAAGGAAATGGCAACCCACCCTGTATTCTCGCCTAGAGAATCCCATGGACAGAGGAGCCTGGTGGGCTGCTGTCCATAGGGTCACACAGAGTTGGACACGACTGAAGAGACTTAGCATGCATGCACGCATTGGAGAAGGAAATGGCAACACACTCCAGTGTTCTTGCCTGGAGAATCCCAAGGACGGAGGAGCCTGGTGGGCTGCCATCTATAGGGTTGCACAGAGTCAGACATGACTGAAGCGACTTAGCAGCAGCAATAGGAGAATGACTGAATAAAAAATTGCACTGATTTAGTCTATCTGGGTTTCTATAACAAAATACCACAGAATGGATGGCTTATGAACAGCAGAATTTTATTGTTCACCATTCTGGAGGCTAGAAGTGGAAGATCAGGGTGCCACACAATTGGGCTCAGGTGAAGGCTCCCTTCCTTCACCTGCCCACTTCTAGTTGTGTTCTCACATGGTGGAAGGTGAGGGGAGAGCTTTCCCTTGATTTATTTCCCTTCTCTTCTAAGTGTGCTAACCCTAGCATGAGGATTCTGCCCTCACGATCGAGTCACCTCCTGAAGGCCCTACTTTTTCACTATCACCTTGGTATGATGGTTAAGTTCCAACATGAATTTTAAAGGACACCTTCAGATCATAGCACCTGTTATATGCAAGAATGTTCACAGCAACTTTATAAAAGCTAAAGCAAGAAACAAAACATCTATAATACCAGAATAGATTTTTTAAAGTATGATTTATTCATACAATGGAATCTTTGCAGCAACCAAAAAAATGAAAACGAATAAAAAACGAACTACTGGGACTTCCCTGGTGGTCCAGTGGTTAAGAATCTGCCTGCCAGTGCAGAGGACATGGGTTCGATTCCTGGTCCAGGAAGAACTCACGTGTCTCGGACCAATTAAGCCGGTGGGCCACAACTACTGAGCCTGTGCTCTAGAGTCCATGCTCCACAACAAGAAGCCACCCCAATGACAAGCCCAAGCACCGCAACCAGAAGAGTAGCCCTACTCACCACAACTAGAGAAAGCCTACACGCAGCAATGAAGACCCAGTGCAGCCAAAAATGAATTTTTAAAAATCTTAAAAAAAAAAATACTGATACACTCTCAAAATAGATGAGCAGAAAAAGTCAGATAAAAATAAGTACATGTTACACGACTGTATCATTATTTTTAAATGAAGTTCAAGAACAATCAAAACTAATCTAGGGACAGAGAAGTCAGAACACAGTATTGGTTTTTCAGGGGTGGAGTAGGGGTGGTTACAACTAGACTCCAAAAACAACTTTTTGTAGTGATGGACGTATTTTTCCTTTTGGTAGTGATCAGAGCAGTGTATTAATATGTAAAATGTCATTGAGCTATAAATTTGTGTATTTTAACCTATGTAAATCACAGGTTGCTGCAGAAATAAATTTTAAAATATGCAGTTTTACAACTCAAAAAACCCCAAATTTTAAAAAGTCAATTACTAGGAAGACAGAAAAGCCTAGTTTTATAGATGCAGCCAATATATATCTTATATCTAAGCTACGTAACACTATAGAATAAAACAAAACAGCATCAACCAATATTATGATGGTTAAATAACTTGTATATTCTGATTACATGTCAGCAATTTAATATACATCTTTTAGAAAGTTTTTTAGGCTCTAACCATCCACATAACAAGTTTACTGTGAAATATAAAGCACATGATACCAGCATATATGAAACATTAATCAAATGTATCAGATATTGTTAATAGCTGATCTTTTAACACACCATCTAACTACCAGGTTCTTCTTTGAGAAACAGGTTATCACCATTTTCATGGAACCACAAAAAGAGAATATTCCATGTCTTTAAATTATCTCTATGAGCAGACACACCAAAAACACTTAAGAAATAATTTTTGACCAAACATTTCAAAGGACTTCAAAATGTTACAATTATCTAACAGGCCTTTGCTAGTCACACACATTACATACCCTGTTCTTCCAAGTTTTCAATGATACTTTGAGTACAACACTCTGCCATTCTTTCATGCCTGGTAAGGTCTTTTCTGAAACCCACCTTAAACATTATATTCCTGATAAACACTCTTCCTATCCCCCCATGTGGAATTAATCACTCCTTTTGATGGTTTCTACTGTGCTCTTCCAGATTATCACATGACTTACATTAACTGCTGTTGCTTGACTTCATAGCTCCAACACTGCGATTGTAATAGGTACTCAACACAGGTACTCAATATACTCAACTGTATAGGTAAACAATTACATTGACACAAGAAAGGGAATCAGAACATTACTTCTTGAGGAAAAATATCTTAAGCAAATAAAAGTCATTTTTCTGGTGAGGAAAGATCTGACTTCATGTCGAATTCTACCCTTACCTACAAGATTTAAAAAAGAACAACAAAAAACCCAGTTGTTTTATAGCAGTTTTACTCACTTCTCGTAAGGTTTTAATATTTTTTAAAAGAAGTCCTACTACTTTGTCACACTGAAAAATTCTCATATATTACTGAGAGTTCTAAGCAGTTCATTCATAACTCAGGTTTGAAATTTGTATACCATCAAAGAAACTGCTTCCTAAAGATGAAGATTTCAAGAATTTTAGAAAACAAAAGCAAAGCTTAAAACCAGTAACATAGGTGCAAAAGGCACAAGCACTGCCTGACCTGGCAGAAAATTAAATTTTTGCGTGTTCTACAAAGAATATTTGCGTTTCTTCACTTGCAAAACCTTGAGGAATTCATCAACTTGAGAAGGGAATACTATAAAAACTGAGAATTCAATTTAGAGGAATGAACTAAAAGGGAATATGGTTTAAGATGATAGAACCATGCTCTTCCAACTGTAAAAAAAAAAAAAAAAAAAAAAGGACTAGGCCTTTACTTATAAAGAGTACATTTCTGGAAAGTGTGAAAAGGATTAAAATAAACAAAGGAAAGTTCTTACACACAGCACAGCACAACTGACCTACACACAAAAGGGCAGAGGCCACCTTCTGCCTCTGAGGTGAAAAGGAAGGAAGAAAACCTATGCCTTCTCCTCTGTGCCAACACTGGAAATAACTATGAGCCAGAAGTCTGAAAGATCTATTCTTATGTTAGTTAGAGGAATTACATAAAATGCTTGGTAAGTGAATAGACACAATAATCTTTTAATAATAGAATTCTAAAAGAACTAATGCTAAAGCTGAATTATCATCCTCTTACCTTAGTGATGAGAATTCGGTATTTTTCTACTAGGTGGTCGTTGTTGTGACAACCTGCTAGAAGCTGCCAGACTTCTCCTCGAAGAGCTTCAGGAACACCGCTTCTTACTAAGGATGACAACTGCTTTGGCCTCACGCTCAAGTTGAGATGCCTAAAAAGAAAGCCATAAGCTGTAAGTGCATAAAAGACAGAGTTTTTAAAAGTGCGTTACTTTTAGGAAAGCTAAACTAAATGATATATAAAGACTTAATAAAAAACATTAATAAAGAAAAAAAACCACTGAACTAGACGTGGCCAATATAACTGTACAAGATTGAGTGGAGAAAAAAATTCTGAAGTCAGACGACTTCTTACGTATCTCTAAATTACTGGTCTAATTTAAAAAAAAAATCAGAACTGGAAACTAGCTTTATGGTTGTGGCTTGTGCAAGAAAAACAAAGCAAAATTCTCATTAGTGGACACATAGCTAAAGATAAGAGCTCAGCTCTGCATCAAAATTGATAAGTAAACTGTATATTTTTATGTTTTAGGTAAACATTTGTTCTAAATAAGAATAAATATAAAAATAAATGCTTTCAGCAGGTTTTATGGTGCTTTAAGTTTTTTGAATAACTATGACGGATAAAAAAGTTTCTACTGTACTATTATATTATCAAAACAAGTTACTAAAGAATTGGAGCTTCATTTATTTCATCTACAAAATGGGGGGAATAAGACATCTCTTTGGTGGGGGGCTGCATCATGCAGCATGCAGGATCTTATTTCTCAGATGATGATGAAAGTCACTCAGCCTGTCCAACTCTTTGTGACCTTGTGGACTGCAGCCTGATGGGCTCTTCTGTTCATCATGGAATTCTCCAGGCAGGAGTTCCCAGACCAGGAATCAAATCCATTGCCCCCTGCAGTGGAAGCCCAAAGTCCTAATCACCGGTCCGCCAGGGAATTCCCTAAAATACTTTTACTGGGGGAAATAAAACACCTTGAAAAAGAATTTTTAGAAGTGTTGGTATTAATTTACAAAGTGCTTTTGCATTTAATTTTACTTGATCCTCACAACAACCATTTGAGGTATGTGGTAGTATCTCCAGTTCTACAGATGGAGAAAGAAGTTCAGGGAAGTTGATTAAGAGACTGAGGTAGACTCAAGCTCAATGAATGCTGTTACATCACAGTTGCTTTGTGATTTGAGAGCCACCATTACCGAGTCAATAAAGCAGGATTCTGACATGGAGGAATTTCTGTGGCTATCAAATTTAAGCTCAAGTTACCAGGACTTCCCTGGTGGCTCAGATGGTTAAAGCGTCTGCCTACAATGCAGGAGATGTGGGTTCGATCCCTGGGTCGGGAAGATCTCCTGGAGAAGGAAATGGCAACCCACTACAGTACCCTTGCCTGGAAAATCCCATTGACAGAGGAGCCTGGTAGGCTACCATCCATGGAGTCGCAAAGAGCTGGACACGACTGAGCGACTTCACTTTACTGGTACAAAATGACCACTATCAAAATACTGTAGAGAAAGTCTGAGACTTTTCTCAAAATTCTTCCAGAACTCCAGCAGAAGGAAACATAGTACATTTAAAAGTTATTAATTCTGTGATGATGCTAGCACCCTAATACAAGAGCTATAGACAGTTTAACATAGTTTTGCCTTTGCTTAGGGGGAAAAAAAAATACACACACACACACACACACACATATAAGTTGAAGAATTGGAAGTAGAAGACTAAAGTAGTTCTATTATTTAATCCAAGGATTGGCACACTATGGCCTATGGGACAAATCTGGCTCACCATGTGTTTCTGTAAACCAACTCTTACTGAAACACAAGCCATTTTTATTTTTTTATGTATTGTCTATGGCTGCTTTCACACTGCAACAGCAGAGGTGAGTAGGTGCAACAGTCTATTGGCCACAAAGCCTAAAACATTTATATTTGGCTCTTAAAAAAAAACTAACCCTAGAATTATTTGATAACACAAGCTTGATTTATATTGGTAAAACCATTTTCAGAATAATTTTGTCACTGATAATAACTCTGCCAACTATTTTATTACTGACATTAGTTCTCTTAACCACTAAAATTCTTATCAAAATGAACTTGGAGAATTAGCACACAAAGGTATATTTATTATCAACACTGACACTAAAATCTAATGTAGAGTTAAATAAACCAGTTTTGCAATCAGACCAGACTGTGTTAAAAATTCTGAGCCTGCTGTTTACTAAATGAAGACAGATTCTAAAGAGTTAAATGACCTGCCCAAGATCATACAGCTTAGAAACAGGAGAGGTAGGATGTGAAGTCTGATCTACCAGGCTCTAAAATTCCATGACACTGTGATGATTCCACATGTAATTCCACATATAACAGATGATGATTCTGCATATAATAATGATGAAAAAATAATGACAAAATAAATTGAAGAAAATAAACTATATTATTATTTCTAAAAACATGACTGAAATCAGCAAAAATACAGCTATAAACATCCTGAAGATACGTGAGACAGATGGAAAGTTAGTTAACATATGAAGGATTAAGATAAGGATATCATTTCATCAAAAGAATAACAAAATGGATAAACAAAGCCCGATAACTAAACAAATTCCAAGCAATTGTATAGAACACTGGTGGGTTCATTTTATAAAATCTAGAGCATTTAGAGTCTAAATGCTGTATCTAAATAATTTTACATACACTATTATATAACCCATGTCAAGACTCAATTACATTTCTATTTTAGAGCAGAAATCTTTTTATATAGATGAAATCTCTGCCAGCAGCAGTCCAAACACTCCAAATTCACTGAACTGAAAATATATTGTGATGAGAGCATCATCAGCAGGCCTGTCTCCTGACTGCTGAAGGAATATAAAAAACAAATGAGAACTGTCCCTCGGGGGGCTTCTGCAGCGGTCATTTATTAAAACCACTTACGTAAAGACAAACCATGCTTTAGTTTGCATTCTCCTCCTGTACACATCTGACACTTCCCCATTCGAGAGTGTTGCACCAAAAGTGTAAAGCTTTGTGAGAGTGCTAGAAGCAGATAATGCCCATCTGCAGTCCCATCCCTTAAGGGCATGAAGTTTTTCTCTAATTCTGAGACACAGTTTTACTAAGAACAGAATGAAGGTTTCAACAGTTAAAACTTGAGAGAAAAATCAGACTCCAAAGTAACAGGTCCACGGGGAGTTGGTATGATAACCCTAAGAACCAGAAAGTCAGAAACAGAAAGCTACTCAGATCACTTTCAAGTTTAGCTCTTTTCAGCATATACTAGCATCCTACAGTGAGAAAAGGAAACGGCATAAACGTCTCAGCAACCTGATTAACAGGTCTCTGATTTCACTAATAAATTACCTGAAGGTAGTGTGCTCTTTTTAGACAGTCTATAGCATATTGCTTAACACTGCCATCAAACTGTCTCTTGAGCTGATGAGAAATTCCTGAATTTTACAAGTGTTAGTAATTGGTAGAGCAATAAATATATACCAGGTTTATAACATTCTGCTCTGTCACTTGAGGCATATAACAGAGATAGGGGAAAATCCCACTGCAGTCTCTATCATGGTTCTATGCATCATGTGAGTATCTCCTAAACTTTCCTGATTACTGTGTACTGCCTTAACTATTCTGTATTATCTTAACCAGTAGGCAGTTTCTACCCACTTCAATATAAGTGACTTCTTTCCTTATTTATTTTCTCCATGGATTCCACGTTTGCATGAATATTCCTGCAGCAATGAGAACTTACTAGGTTTCTGATATTTTGAAAGCTGATTTCAGATCTTTATGACTTCACTACCCTTATAAACCTCTACCAACAGATTCTAGGATGTGAACCTCATACTTAGGTTTTTATTATTGGCTCCAAAACTGAAAAATGTTTGGCAGAATTCCCTGCCCATAACATAAGAACTGCAGGTGTAAAGGAGAACTATTCTATCACAACTTACCATTTAGACAGCAGTTCTCCCCATGTTTCAAGAATTTTTTCGGCACATTCTTTGGATACATCACCAGATCCACTCAAGAGAGGCTCATCGTTATCTTTAATAAACAAAACACACAAAAAGGGTAACAGAGGTAGTTATGCTAGCCAGAAGAATGACCTGGAAATGTAACAGTCAAATTTGAAAGATTTCATTGGGAGCACAGTCTCATAACTTCTCTCTTAGCATATAGTCATAAATACAAGAAAAGTAAAAATGGCCCTAGGTGAAATGTTGCTGAAACTCTTTAATTCTCTTGCTTTTCATATACGCCTATATAATGTCAACTGAAGAAAGAGCCATACGACTATAAAATGATAGGACTCAAAAGTATGGTATATTCTCTTACCTGTTTCACAGCAAACAACGTCATACACGAAAATATATAGCAATCTTATGTATAACAGTTAAAAGAACAAAGCACGCATGTATAAGCTTCCAAAATAGAAAAGCAGAGAGTATTTGCACAAATTTTGATACGACATTTACAATTCAAACTTGTGTTGACACTTTTTAACATAATGATCTGGCAAAATATTAAGTGCACACAAAATTAAAAGAAGAACTAAATCTTATGGAGCTATGATTTTTTTTTCTCTTTTATGCTTTTATGACTTTCTAAATTTTCTATACTGGGATGGATTAATAGAAAGCATAAAAATACTTTTTTTAAAAAGGACCAAGATGAATCATTTCAAACTTTGTTCAAGAAATCAGGAAATGTAAATCTAAATACAAATTTAAGGATTATAAGATTTAAAGACAATGAAAAAAGTGACAATGATAGAGGAATGTGAGAGAATTGAAAAAAGTGTAATGAAAGTAGTGGGAAAATAAGATTTACTTAATCTTCTTTGTTGGACACTTCAGGAGTTTTCAACTTTTTGCTACAAATAGCATTAGGATGAACAGATCTCACTGTTTTTATTGGGTATATGCCCAGAAGGGAACTTCCTGGGTTAAAAAATGCATGCTTTTAAGGATTCTGAAACTTATGACAAACTGCCTCCCAAAATGGTTTTACCAACTGACATTTGCACTAGTTGGGTAAAACAGTACTTGTTTCCATGTCAGTTCAATCAATGCTGTTTCTAAATGTTTTTGTTTAACCTGCCTTTAAAAAGTTTGGGTCTTAAAAAAATAACGTTTGGATCTTAACATCTCTTGATGATTATTACATCATGAATTGGCATCCCTTTAGTGATAGTATATCTGAGAGTACTGATTTTAAAGGCTCAGAAATCCAGGATATTTATTACTAAACTTATTTACATTATAATGTCTTGAACATTATCAGCAGTTTCCACAGTGAGTTCCGGAAGAAGACAGACTGAATATAAGTGAGACCTCCACAGATGAATAAGGAAAAGACAAAGACTCAAGGGCACTGAGATAATGTCCCTCTGCTTCACTATTTTACAGAGTTGCCCTGTACTCTAAATGCCTCAAGTAATTCTCCACTCATTGAAAATGTCAACGTAACACAATGTCTTGGGTGATGGCAGCTATTTTAAAATGCATTAAAATTTACAAGAGATAATTCCTTTAAAGAGATTAGAAAGACTTATCTTACAAAATTCTCTTTTACTGTTTGGATGTGTTCAGAATGTTGCTTCTGAACACCTCCCCTTTATAACTACTGGTTTCCTGCCCTGTGAGCACAGACGGCCTATGGGTAAGGAGGCTCTTTAGAGGACTACAGCCATTTATTTTCAGGGAGTAAACATCACAACAGGACCTATTTACCTGGTTTGTATACTGGATTAGACAAAATTAAAAGATGGTATGGCTGCAGTCTCCTATCATTAACTTTTCATTATGGAAATGGATCTAGGAAGGCTACTCATCTTGCCAATATTTACTGATCATTCACTATACACCAGGAATTGGACTACACACCATGGAAACATGGAGCAGAAAAGGACACACTCTCTTCTTTTACAGAGCTTGTGTTCTGATGTTCCTTGATCCTCCCATGGACTGCCACCTGCCCTTAGTCTCTCTCTACCCTGTTAACTGTTGTCAGCAGAGGCCTTCTGAATTCCCTCAATTATATTAAAAAAGACTGTGCCTATTATAGATTAGAACTACATCTCAGTCCTGATGCTATTAGCTGGGCCCACATTTCTCTTTAACTGGTAGATGTCCTTAACATCTATAATATGGAGATTTGAACAGTCTCTGGTTTCACAATAAATGGTGCATCTTTCTCAACTTTTGGCATTTTTTTTTTCATTGCCAAGTCTTAAAGAGAGGAAAGTTCTGTAAATTTTTATTTGCTCTGCATCTTAAGCAATGTTGACATAAAGGAAAACTGCAAGTCTCCAGAACCAGTTACACAGTCAATCTCAAACAGCAGGAACAATTTCACTGTTCCCAGCCTTAAAACATGACTTAAACTGTCTCTGCAGGAGACTCTAAATTGTATGCTAACTTTTCAAAAACATTTGTGCCTTCTTTGCACTTCAAAATGCTTTATGTGAATAAATGCCCAGAGATGATAACACAATAGAGCTCAGAATGCTAATTCACAAACCTGGATTAAAATCCTCCCTGCCAATTTCTAAATACTGTGATGTTGGGCAAACTCACTTTCCTTATGTTCAAAATTAAGTCTTATTTTTCAGGAATTTGTGTGGATTATATAAATGAAGTATTATATTACTTCATAAACAAAGTACCTGTCTACCACACTAAGCATCTAGCAACTGCTGGCCATTAACATTACCAATAAATGATCCTAAGTTGATTAGTCATAGAAAAAGTAGAAGTTACGGGGAACAACAGGAATTGGGAAGTCAGCACTTGCTCTAAACTTGGAAAAAGTACATATAATCACGGACATGTATTTCTTCTACCACAATCAAACATTCCTATCACCCTGATGCTTTTGTTAGCGTACTTTTTTTAGCCAGAAGTGCCCAAACCAGCACATTTATCCCTGAATTCTCCCTGCACTTTAAAAGTTCCAGCTAAAAAAGTCATGGTACTCCAGCACATACTCCACAATGAAAAGTGAATTCTCTCCTATGAATTTCCAGAACACTCCCTGTGAACCTCACATAGGTGCATACCTCATATGACTTTTCATAATCAGCTTGTTTTTGCCCTTAAAAATAAAGGTCTGGTACAAAATGTCTTCCAAACTTTCATTTTTCCTTTATTCCTTCCCTCCATTTTTCACTTTGATATAGTATGTTTTAACACAGATTGACAGAACAATTCACAGATATAAGCATGAAAAAAAGAGGAAAAAAAAAAAAGAACTGGTTGATTCCTAGTATTTATCAGTGTGAAAATCCAATAATGTATCAATCAATTGAGATGGAAACATTTATTTAGGTAGACGCTGTGTCAAATTTGCTCTAAAAATGTGCTGTATTAATTCACCAAGCTAGCAGAGACTGATTCTTTTTAAAGAAAAAAAAGCACTAATTATATATCTCATTTTTTCTAACTTGGCTACAATTACCTCAAAGAAAGTCCTATGGCAATCATTTTTTATCTCCCACAGTCCTTTGTATAGACTCTCATAAACATTTATTAAAAGTATTCAAAATACTATGTCATTTTATCACTTCCCTGATAAAACTGTAATGGTCTGTATAGCCCACCACCCAAAATAGAAATTAAGTTCTCCCTACAATTTACCTTCCTCTTCATCATCTTCTGGAGGAGAAGGTATCATTGAACTCTGAGATCCTGACTGTGGCAGGCGAATTGAGGGACTGGCTGTAGTTTTCCTCCTCTCTCTCTCTGATTCACTTTCCAAGCATACAACTTCGTATAAAGTGTCAGTATTGTTCTTTCTCTCCTTTTGCTTTATCTTAAAGAGGAAAACACATTATTCATCAAGTGATAAAAAAAATTTTTTTAATTGAGCACTACTTCTGATTTTACATAGGATCTGAGAATAAAAAGGTATTACTTTGAATATTTAAATTAAATGTTACCTTTTCTAAGCAGAAAAACATATGTTTAGGGTTAAAACCCTTAAGAAAATAGGATATTTACTGAATAGGACTCTAATTCTGCAATTTTATTTACTGTATTCAGACTGTATCATCAAACATCCAACTACCAATATTTAGTAAGTTAACTTAAAAAGTTAACTGTTCTGTAGCTTCCCAGTTACCTTAAAATTTTGCTCAAGGTTTTCTATATAAAACTGTACATAAAAAGTTTTAGAAATAATCAAAAACACAGTTTAATACTAAGAATGTCTTATCTCCATGCCCCTACCACCAAATCCTTTAGCCTAGTGATAACAGAATAGGTAACTTTTATTCAACTGAAAGCTACAACTGGGGGGTCGTAAGTGACAGAAAAGAGATTAATGGAGTTCACAAAATTTTTGATAACTCAAATTGTTTTGTATTTTGGGTTTATCTTGAGGCAAGCACATAACATTTTAAACTGACCTAAATAAAAAATTAAGAGTAGGGAATATAAAATTTTACCAGTACAATATTTAAATATTAATATTCCATATTATAGTCAGTTTAAGGAGGAGGAAAAAAAGAGTGAAATACAGAGCAGGAGGAAAAGACAGAAGTATAGGAAAAGAAACAGAAAACTAGAATAGAAAGGTAGCAGCAGAGAGAAAGAGAAAGATACACACGCATAAAGTTAAAATACAGAAGGGGGAGGGCAACAGAAGGTCGTTAGAAATATCAGGCAGAGAGCAGATATTACCATCTTCATGTTTATTTGGATTCTTAAGAAAAACTGCCCCAATCCCTGAAGGCTAGCATAGTAGCAACAGGCCCTTTCAATAGCATCCTGAAGCACTGTTTTCATTAAGTAGTTGGTAAACTCTTCTGTAAAGGGTCAAACAGTAAATATTTTAGTCTGTGTGGGCCAGCAGTCTCTGCTGCAACTCCTCAATTCTACCATTACGGTGCAAGAGCAGACAGAGACAGTGAGCATGACTGTGTTTCAAAAACCTTTTATGCAAACCACTGTCAGGCCAGATTTGACCCACAGATCCAGATGTGCTGTTTTAACATGTACAGAGGATTATATAATATTCAAGATGAACAAATGACTTAATTACTTATTATTAACTAAAGGACCCAGACTCTGTGAAATTACATATTAACCTGTAGGTTTGTGACCAATAGCTAAACAAATAATTTCTGTCCAATAGAAAAGATAACCCAAAGGTTACCTACAGTAAACAGTTTTGTTTCTAACCCGTCAATCTTGTTCTAATATTCTTTTTTTTTTTTTTTTAAAGAAAAGACTACATAATAAATGAAAAAAAAAAAAAAAGAAAAGACTACATAAATTCAAGTTACTCAAATACTTGGGACCAGTTTTACCATCTTACTGGTTCCCTCATTACTTAATGAAATATATTAAAATCTATGACATATAGTCATTCTAAATTTTCAATTATGATTTTTAACTTTCAAATAGTATGCTTTGATGGGTCAAAGAATTTACTTTTGTTTTGCTTATTCTCTAAAACATTAGTTAATTGCTTTCTAATACAGTTCAAAGATCCACATAACTTTTTATCTTTAAAATTTTTTTCCCCAGAAACTATATAAACGTTAACAACCCCCGAACTCCCCTTTGAGTAATAGTGACCAGAGCAATCCTGTCCGTTGCAAGTCAGATAAATATGGAGTCAAGATGATTTGTTAAATGCAAAAAGAAAAAAGAGAAATCTTTGTACAAAAAGAGAAATCTAGTAGTCACCATCTTAACCAAGTTATCATACATCTCAGGAACAGTTTTCTAACCTGTGGCTCCTGATCTAGCAGTTCAAGAGTTCTAGCACAGAAAGCATTTTCTATCTTGAGAGGTATAGTGAAATACTACATATGTGTGAGTGTGCCCGTGTGTACATACACACAGGCTTCCCAGGCAGCACAGTGATAAAGAATCTGCCTGACAATGCAAGAGACTTGGGTTTGCTCCCTGGGTTGGGAATATCCCTTGGAGTAGGAAATTGCAACCCACTCTAGTATTCTTGCTTGGAAAATTACATGGACAGAGGAACCTGGTGGGCCACAGTCCCTGGGGTCACAAAAAGTCGAATGCAATTGAGTGAGCACGTGCACACACACACATGCATCCACGCACGCGCGCGCGTGCACACACACAGAGCAAGTACACACATAGATAGAAGCTTGGGTTTCCAATATGTACAGTTATACTAATTACTTTTGCCTATGAACATTGGACACATCACCTAGTCTTTTAGACATTAGCTTCCAGATGTTAGCTTCTTCATTTATAAAATAATAACTTTATAAAACATTTTAAGATCCTTACAGTGTCTTTAGCAATAAAAATTCTGTAATTCTATAACTTTAAGAATTTAAGAATGATTAGTTGGTCTTTTATTCACCTTATGTTACTGTTGGAAAATCTAGTCTTTGGACCATTTCTTCCTCTTTCTTTCCTAACTAATTTCAAAAGTTTCTTCTCTAATATGGTGCCATCTTAATATAGGAATCCCCACAGTTGGGAATGGTTCCAGCCTAAAAAGGAGCTACTGAGTCACCAGATAATTTTAGGGAAAAGAAAAAGAACAAATTTTTAAACATGCATTTTTAATAACGTTTCTATAATTGTTTTCCTAAGCTATTTAGCTGCTAAGATGTGTTTGACTCTTTTGCAACCCCATGGACTGTAGCTCGCCAGGCTCCTCTGTCCATGGAATTTTCCAGGCAAGAATACTGGAGCAAGTTGCCATTTCCTTCTCCATGTTTTCCTATACTTATGGCAATAAACAGAAAACTATATATTGAATATTTAAGAAATTTTATCTGTAGCAGTGTTTCCTTTTCTGTCTAGTGAGAACTGCAAAGAGGTTAAAATTTCAAATTATGTTTGATTTGACTTACATAAATCCCCAAAATGCTCTTATAGAAAGAAAGACAAGAGAAGTACATTTCTATGGGAAGAACCCTAGCTAACACCCTTAGAAGGCTTATGGTATGAATCTTGTTCACAAGACATCCCATAAAATCTATTTTACATCTTTGGATCTATAAAGCATAAACACTATCCTCACTATGGAATATGGATCACTATGAAAATTACGAGACAGAAAATGTCGCTAGTCCAGTGATTGCCACAAGAGGGCCTCAGTTAGTGGTAGCTGCTATTAACTTTTAAAGCCAAGAATGTAAAAAAGGAGATTAATAAACTTAGCTTATTATGTTATAGAAGGAAAGTGAATTAAGAGTGTCCTAAGTGTGCTAAGACAGGAAAAAACTGTTCAAATTCTTCATACTCTATCTCTTCTCCCCTCAACTGACTACCCCTCACACCTACTCCTCAAGACATCCAAATAAGGAGAAAAACAAGAGATTATTCTTAGGAATACCCTGCTCTCCTCCCATCTTCCACATATAAACTTCAGCTTTTTGCAAAGAAAATATTGACAATTCGGCCTATGTTTAGCTTGTAACTTCAGCAAAGAGTCTAGAATACTCTATCAGGCTAAGTCTCAGGCATACATTACATTTTTGGCTAGTCTATGCTGACAAGTCATTTGTTAGCCTTGTTAGATACATTATTCTAGATCAAACCACAGAAAAAATATTCCTGTAAACCTATGCAATCTTTGAATCAAAAGCTGTATAACATAAATCCTCAAGTTAAAAGCAAGATCGGGGAAATCTTATTTATATTCACTAAAAGAAACAGAATTCTGTTTAAGGAGAATAATTTTTTATATACAAATTTATACTAAAAATATACAATTAATTTGCTGGCTAATGCTTACTCTAGAAACTACTAAGAATCATTTCTACATTTTCTACATTTTCTACAGGTTTACTCTTTAAACCTGTAAAATAATGCTTGCAAATTGGTTTTATTTCTGAAGCATTCTTTCCCTGAGGCTAACCACTAAATAATCAATGCTGTTCTGATTTCATGACTTAAGTGTTTATTTCTGTCCCACTGATATCCCTCTCAATAATAATAGCTAAAATGCATGAAGAACATGTAATAGTGCCAAGAACTATTTCAAGTATGTTATACAGTTTCTCACCTACTGTCACAATAACACTATCAGGAAGATTCTATCACTGCCATTTCACAGCTGAGTAAACTGAGGCTCAGAGAGTTGAAAGAGCTTGCTCAAAGTCCTAAAGCTAGTCACTGGTAAGATCCATGTACTCTGACTCAAAAGCCAAGTTCTAGATGATAATCCTATAATCCTTTGCTCTTGTCACAGTGAAGATCTGGGACCCAGGTTTACTTTTTGTCTCTTAAGATAACACGGAAAAGAAATTCCTGTTCTGCTTGTTACCTTTTTCTAACTATAACCAAAAGGGCTAACTTGGACACACGGGAACTAAAATACTTATTGCTACAGAAAAGTATATTCAAGTAAATCCACATACAATATTATAATCTTGGATAATGGAATTTCAATGTTACATGAAATAAAATTCATAAATTTTTTTGAGAACTATGTTCAAGATGTTTAGGGTAAATCAGTGAACAGAACAGATTAGAAATACTGCGTTAGGAGGTTTCTAACACTAAAAACACTTAATAAACCCCCAAAAAAAGTATATTGTGCAGTATATTAGAAGCTAACACCCTTGTATGTAAAAAAAAATTTTTTAAGTTTATCATCAGAGAAGGAATTGGCAGTACCAGTGGATAACTGGGCAAACTGCAGTGTTAAATGGGGGTGGTGAGGAGCTGCTAAGAAATCTAACCAAAGACCTGAGGACTTGAAGGAGATGAATAATAGCAAGTGGAATCCAGGGAAGAGAACTTGAAGTAAAAGTAACAGTTAATAGCAAAGGCCCTAAGCGCATGGTTAGAGCAGAGGAAGCAAGCAAGAAGTAAGAGGAATTAGTTTACAATAGGCAGCAGATCAGATAGGGTCTTATAACCCACTACATGGACTCAGGATTTTATGGAGTAAAATAGGATTAGAGAATTTGAGCAGAAGAATAATGTGATTTGACACTAGGCTGCTATATTAAGAATATTATCAAAAGGTAGCAAAAATAGAAACAGGAAGATGTGTGAAAAAGATATTCCAATAATCCAAGTAAAAACAATATTTCGGATGAAGTTACATAATCTAGGTGGTAAGAAGTGGTCAGCTTCTAGGTATGCTTTAAAAATAGAATTTCCTGACAGACAGGATATGGTGTGTGAAAAAATAAAAAGAGCAAAATTCTTGGTATAAGTAACTACTAGGAGAAGATGCCCATAAACTGAGATGGTAAAGACAGGTAGGCAGAGTATTTTATGGGTGAGGGATGAAACAATGACATCTTTTTTGGACATGGTAAATCTGAGATATTCTGAAGGCTAAGGGAAAGAGTGGTATTTAAGGAGGAGGAAGTAATTATCTGTATCAAATGCTCCTGACACATTAAGTAAGATGAAAACTCAGACTGACGACTGGATTCAGCAATTTAGGTCACCATGAACTTGATTACTTTCAAGGAGTTTTGACAAACAAAAGCAAAGAAAGGAGCAGTAAGTTGCGGGGCAACTGGCGTCCCAAAAAAAAGGCTAAAAGAAGGGAACAGAAATTTTATCTGCTGTCCACCAAAAGAATGACAGAGTATAGCATTTGACCGAATTACCTTTTTTTTTTTAAAGTTCAATACTTAGAAGACCATACCATAGTCTCTATAATCTAAGCATTTAAAGTGTCTAATATGTAATCCCAAAATACTAGACAAAGAAACGTTAAAGTGTGGCTCTTCAGACTCAGATTTAGCAGCCCAAGATTTTTAAAGTAATTATATTAAAATTATGCTCAAGAATATAAAAGAAGATCTGCTTAAAATAAAGATCAAGGAGGTAATCACATAAGAAACAGAAACCATTAAACCAAAGGGACATTGTAGGATAAAAAAAACAAGAACTGAAATTTTTTAACTCATTGAATGAGGTTAACAACAGATCAGAGATTACAAAAGAACAGGGTCAAGTGAACTTTAAATTAGGTCAACAGAAAGTATCCTATCTAACAACAAAACCAAAAATATTTGGAAAAATAAAGAATCTCAGAGGTCTGTGGGATAATAACAAAGGTCAAAAATACGTATGACTGGAATCCCTTAAGGACAGAGAAGAGAGATGTGGCAGAGAAAAACTTGGAAAAAATGGGTCAGAATTTCCCAAAAATTGGTAAAAGAAAAAAATCAAACAAACAAAAAAACCCCATAAATTTAAAAATTCATGAAGTCCAGCAAATCTGAAGACAAACAGAAAGAAAAACCACACCTAGGCACATCACAGTTAAAGGTCTAAACACCCAAGATACAAAATAATATCAAAAGCAGCCAGAGAAAATGATCCATTACAAATATAAATGCATGCTGACTTCTCTTCAAAAACAGTGAGAACCACAAGACTGAGAGATAACATCTATAAGTGCTGAAAGTAAAAAACTGTCAACCCTGAACCCTATATCCAGAGAAAATATCCTACTGGAATAAAAGTGAAATAAAGACTTTCAGATAAAGAAATCTGACAGTTCACTAAAAGAAATTCTAAAAGAAGCTGTTCAGGTTTAAGGCTAATGAGACCAGAAAGAAACCTGGTTCTTCAGGAAGAAATGAAAAGCAATAAAACAAAAAAATATGTGGGTAAAAATGAAAGACAACTTTCCTCTTTAATATATTTAAAATACACATGACTATTTAAAGATCTAACTAAGAGCTTGGATGAATGATAAATCCACCTCAGAAGGGACTTCTCTCATTTTCCCCTCTATATTTATAGAAAGGTATAGTACCTGTTTTAGTTTCAAAAAGAAATTTTCAGTAGTACTACGTTTGCTGAAGGGCCAGAATAATCTCTCATTAGGTGAGCAGACTCGGACTTTTGTCTCTAGAAGAAAGCGAACAGGCTCCTGCACTTCTGTTATTACCAGATCAACGGCTGTGGTCATAAACAGCACTTTATCTAGGGAGAGAGAAGGGAGAAGCACATTTTTTAAGTGGAAATATATTTGCTCACATAATTAAATTACAAGTTTTAAATCACATTCAGAAAGAGTATGAACAGCTGAAAAAGTTTATGCACAGCATATCTGAAATATTACACAGGAAATTAGTCACAGTGGTATCCTTTAGGGTGGGACACTAGAACTGTGGCAGACTTTTATTTTTCCTAATATATCCTTTGAATTTTAAATGATATGTAAATATATTATTGATCCACAAGAAAGTAATACTTAGAAGCCTGTAAATAAGTATATAAATAGAAGAGGAAGCAGGAAAAGAAAAAATGAAGAAAGGAGACGGAGGAAAAAATACTTTGTTTACAGGTTAAAGTTAATAATAAATTCAAAGAACTATTCAAATTCCTTGGTTTCATCAGAATTAGATGAACACTAAATATTTCTCAAATAAGCAGAACTAAGATTTGGGTATCCTCCTGGGACTAAAATTTCTATTCATGATGTCACCAATCTGCACCACCTTTAGGAGTTTCTTCATTTACAACTTGAAAATGTGGGGATTTTGGATTCCAGCTCCCAGTAATAACATAGGACTTTCCATCTGAACTTTTGCCCATAGATTCCTAAAGAAAAGAATAACAACAACATTAAAAAATAAAAAATAAAAAAATAACAACAGCTAATCCTCATTCTGCTGCCTTTAAAAAAAATAGAAGTTGTAAAAATATAAGAATATGAAAGATCATATAAATATATACAAATATAGAAAAAGTCAGAAGTATATATGAATGATTACAGTTAAAAATGTGCCAACTGTTTATGCAACTGCTCCTGAAAAGTTATAAATAAAGTAAATGCTTGAAAATCATATCAAACTGTACAGACATAGGGAAAATTTACTACCTACACCTATGTTGAATTCTTCTGTCAAGTAAACAATTACTACATAAATTTTAATTATTAAAATAAAGATTTTCATATAATAGCAATAGTATATACACCGCATACTTTTCTAAAGCTCATAACAGTCTGCAAGTAACTCTCTCACAAAATGTCTTTCACTCCAACATCAACCCTACACTACTGCACAGTCAAGAAACTGAGACTAAGCAGGTTTAAGGTCAGACTGGTAGACAGCAAGTAGGAAATACCCTTATCTTTGCTTATAGCTTCATAAATGTCTTTCAACATCAGATTTGGTGCAACAACCTTTATAGAGGAAACAGTGTACAAACTTAAAAAAAAAACTATCCTTACCAAATCTAACAAGTGCATGTCACTATTTCGTACATCTTTTCCTGGGCTAAGGAGAAGACCAAAACATCTGCAAAAAAAGAACCAATATAAATTTGGGAAAAAGACTACAGCAAAGATGTTTAAGTTAGATCACTGAAAAAAATTCTGACAGAAAAAAGGACATATTGAAATTATCAAAATCATCTTTACTTCTTTAATTGCGATCAACAAATTTTATGTTCGCCTTTTATTATCACATAGTTGAAGTCAACATACTAGCTGAAGATATACAGATACTTCAAAATAAATGAAATATACACTTTGATAACGAAAAGAATTCCCCAGGGAGCAAAATAGTTTGCAAATACACTTTTGAATAAAGTATAAGACTGTTTCAGTAGATCGACAAGAAATAAAATTTATATTTAAGCCAAACTTACTAAAAATGTTTACCTTTCAATGGCAAGTTCTTTATTAGTTGTTTGTTGCACATAGATGACAATCTTCTTATCAATTCCTTGGCGTAGTTTAAAGCATTGTCTGTCTTTATCTTTAGGAACTGCACTGTAGGACAACAAGTTTCATCAATTTTGGACAGCATTTCCTTGTACTATACACCAGAATAACTTTTGGTATGATTTGAAAATCAGGCACTAAAAAGAATCATAGATTTAATTCTTTTCTATGCCTGGTATTCAAATAACAGATATTATCATCTGCCTCTTGATGTGAAAAGATCATCATTGTATGTAAATCACTAAACCATTTTATAAACCATTTATAAAAGCTACAAAACCACTCTTGTGTCTCCTGAAATGTGACTTTAGTTTCTTTTTTTTGTTGTTGTGAAAATTGAATTAGATATTTATAAAGTTCTGAAGTACTCAAAGTTTTTTTCACTTTCTATTTAGTCACTGTTTTTTATCAATACAAATAAATTATTAATGCCTTATGTGTTTAAATATACAAGATTATTATATAGATCCTTTTAATTTCAAACAAAATGCTTTCGAAAAACAATAGAGATGAGAAAGATATGGTCAACAGTAAGCTATTGCCCAATTTTCCCCTTAATCAGTGATAACCTTATTAAAAACCCATGTGATAATTATAAAAATATTAACGATGTAATTAAACATCAACTTAAGAAAACAGTTGAAAATATTCTCTAAGTGACAGTTTACCAAAATAATCTCCTTGACTCCCACACACCAACTTCTCTAGCTCCTCTGTTCTCAAAGACAGACAAATCTGCTTCGAGCAAACAGCCAAGATACAGAAAATCTGAATTGTGCCTTATTACTGTATGACTCTAAGATAATAGCAATAAAACCATTAGATAATAATACAAAAGGCTACATAAGAGCTCTGAGTACCAACTTACACTAAAAAGTGATTCTTAAGAAATAAAATTAATTTGAATGCTGTCAGCACTAGTACACCAGTAACCAATTCAAGAACATGTAACACTGAGATTAAAAAAAAACAACAAAGAATCTTAGGTTCAGTTCAGTCGCTCAGTTGTGTCCGATTCTTTGCAACCTCATGAATCGCAGCACACCAGGCCTCCCTGTCCATCACCAACTCCTGGAGTTTACTCAAACTCATGTCCACTGAGTCGGTGATGCCATCCAGCCATCTCATCCTCTGTCGCCCCCTTCTCCTCCTGCCCCCAATCCCTCCCAGCATCAGGGTCTTTTCCAATGAGTCAACTCTTCGCATGAGGTGGCCAAAGTATTGAGTTTCAGCTTCAGCATCAGTCCTTCCAATGAACACCCAGGGCTGATCTCCTTTAGGCTGGACTGGGTGGATCTCCTTGCAGTCCAAGGGACTCTCAAGAGTCTTCTCCAACACCACAGTTCAAGAGCATCAATTTTTCGGTGCTCAGCTTTCTTCACAGTCCAACTCTCACATCCATACAAGACCACTGGAAAAACCATAGCCTTGACTAGACGGACCTTTGTTGGCAAAGTAATGTCTCGGCTTTTTAACATGCTATCCAGGTCAGTCATAACTTTCCTTCCAAGGAGTAAGCGTCTTAACTTCATGGCTGCAGTCACCATCTGCCGTGATTTTAGAGCCCAAAAATATAAAGTCTGACACTGTTTCCACTGTCGCCCCATCTATTTCCCATGAGGTGATGGGACCACATGCCATGATCTTAGTTTTCTGAATGTTAAGCTTTAAGCCAACTTTATCACTCTCCTCCTTCACTTTCATCAATCTTAGGTTAAGGGTCTAAAAATGCAAACATGTGCAAGAAAAACTGCCGCACACAAAACTATTAAATATGTATGACTGACAGAAATGTCACCTACAAGAATATGAACAGGTCTCAGTTTTCAATCCACATCAGATACACTAGGCTCTATGTTCTGTGGATGTTTAAGTCTAAATTAATATAATCTCATCTCTCAGCAGTATTTAAAACAACAATGGAAATAAAGTTATTTCTGGTGTTCTGAATCTGAAGGGCAAGGAAAAGCTACATTAATAGGAAGCAGGGTGGTGAGTATAAGCAGTTCACTGATGTCAGGGAGTCTAGATTATTTTCTGTTCTTATTACTATATCATTGCATGAATCTAACCAAATAATTTTACACTTAATTCCTATTGTATAAATTAAGAAACATACATCCTGGTTATCTTCTCTGACTTTCTTCACCTACAGAAAAAGGACAAGATCAACTGGGATACTTTGTAGATCAAATAAGGCCAAAAATAAGTGCTTTGAAATGACAGAAGTGAAAATGCTCCATCTTCCTAAGGGCTAAACATTCTAACTTTAATAGTATAAGGATTATACATTTTCAGTAATGAAAAGAAAAGCATTAATCCTTCTCAAAGCACTTGGTCTATATTTCAGTTCAGTCGCTCAGTCGTGTCCAACTCTTTGCAACCCCATGAACTGCAGCATGCCAGGCCTCCTGTCCATCACAAACTCCCAGAGACCACCCAAACCCATGTCCACTGAGTCGGTGATGCCATCCAGCCATCTCATCCTCTGTCGCCCCCTTCTCCTCCTGCCCCCAATCCCTCCCAGCATCAGGGTCTTTTCCAATGAGTCAACTCTTCGCATGAGGTGGCCAAAGTATTGAGTTTCAGCTTCAGCATCAGTCCTTCCAATGAACACCCAGGGCTGATCTCCTTTAGGCTGGACTGGGTGGATCTACTTGCAGTCCCAAGGACTCTCAAGAGTCTTCTCCAACACCACAGTTCAAGAGCATCAATTTTTCGGTGCTCAGCTTTCTTCACAGTCCAACTCTCACATCCATACATGACCACTGGAAAAATCATAGCCTTGACTAGACAGACCTTTGTTGGCAGAGTAATGTCTCTGTTTTTTAATATGCTATCCAGGTTGGTCACAACTTTCCTTCCAAGGAGTAAGGGTCTTTTATTTTCACGGCAGCAGTCACCATCTGCCGTGATTTTGGAGCCCAGAAAAATATAAAGTCAGCCACTGTTTCCCAATCTATCTATGAAGTGATGGGACCAGATGCCATGTTCTTTGTTTTCTGAATGTTGAGCGTTAAGTCAACTTTTTCACTCTCCTCTTTCACTTTTATCAAGGGGCTCTTTAGTTCTTCCTCACTTTCTGCCATAAGGGTGGTGTCATCTGCATATCTGCGGTTACTGATATTTCTCCCGGCAATCTTGATTCCAGCTTGCACTTCCTCCAGCCCAGTGTTTCTCATGATGTACTCTGCATATAAGTTAAATAAGCAAGACGACAATATACAGCCTTGGCATACTCCTTTTCCTATTTGGAACCAGTCTGTTGTTCCATGTCCAGTTCTAACTGTTGCTTTCTGACCTGCATAGAGGTTTCTCAAGAGGCAGGTCAGGTGGTCTGGTATTCCCATCTCCTTCAGAATTTTCCAGTTTATTGTGATCCACACAGTCAAAGGCTTTGGCATAGTCAATAAAGCAGAAGTAGATGTTTTTCTGGAACTCTCTTGCTTTTTCGATGATCCAGCGGATGTTGGCAATTTGATCTCTGGTTCCTCTGCCTTTTCTAAAACCAGTTTGAACATCTGGAAGTTCACGGTTCACATGTTGCTGAAGCCTGGCATGGAGAATTTTGAGCATTACTAGCATGTAAGATGAGTGCAATTGTGCGGTATTTTGAACATTCTTTGGCATTGCCTTTCTTTGAGAATGGAATGAAAACTGACCTTTTCCAGTCCTGTGGCCACTGCTGAGTTTTCCAAATTTGCTGACATATTGAGTGCAGCACTTTCATAGCATCATCTTTCAGGATTTGAAAGAGCTCAACTGGAATTCCATCACCTTCACTATCTTTGTTCGTAGTAATGCTTCCTAAAGCCCAGTTGACTTCACATTCTAAGATGTCTGGCTCTAGGTGAGTGATCACACCATTGTGATTATATGGGTCGTGAATACTTATGCTACAATAAAATCATAATTTATCTTGTGCTACAGCTAACTATATACACATATAGTTTTTAAATAGGTGGTAAGTCATATGGGTATACCACTGTATTTGGCTTTAGGTATAACTGGCATACAACATATCAGTTTCAGGTTTACAACATAATGATTTTATATCTGCATTTATTATGAAATGCATCATATTTTAACCATTCTATTATGGTCAACATTTAATTTCTAGTTTTTAATTTTGCTATTATTGAGTTAAGGGGAACAGTCATGCTAGTAACTCTTTTGGCATCTCAACAACTGCTTCTGATTCCTAGACATACTACAGAATCACTGGATGAAAGGAACTGTACTTTAAAAGTTCAAATCTGACAAAGGCACCCTTGTCAATAATTTCATCACTGTATCAGGTTCAACAACACCCTTTTCTATTATAAATTCAGGAAAACATGCAACAAAAAGATAACAGAGCCCTAACAAATGTGTAAAGAAACCAGACTATCCAGGGGTTTTCTGTACAGTATTTCCTTGATACACAGTTGAATAGGGATATTTGTGATTGCTAACCTTTCTACCTCGAAAATGCCTGATCTCAGAAGGAGGAGAAATTACCCTAGTGCTTCTCTTCTGAGAGATCTTAGAAGCCTTTCCTATTCATAACTGGGAATTTCTAAACAATCTTCAATCTTTATTTTCAATAAAGGGAAAAACAGTCTAAACTGTTCTGTTTCTTAAAAAGGAAAAAAATTATTACAAGGTTTATAGATTACTTCCTACTTTCCAGTATAGGAATGCATACTGCAGAAAACAACATAATAATGTTGGTGTGAAAATAGAAATATAAATAAGAAAGCATAAAGTACAAAGGCTCGTAACTTTATAGTACAAGTCAAGGTTGAAGCTGCATTGTATACTGAACTTGCCACCAGATGGCATGACAATTTCAAAGTCTTTGAAGGGAGAGCAATGGTTATCAGTTTCCCAAATAAAACAATCATTGTGCTTTTTAATTTAAAAGCAAAAGATCAGAAATCACTTATATTTTCATTTTCTCCATTTCATGAGTAGCCATGAAGGAAAGAAAGTTCTATATGCAACTGCTGACTATGATTCCAAGAAGCACCCATTTTGTGATATGAGCTATGGAGAAAAAAAGTCAATCATCTTGCAACCGTAGTATTTTAAAGTTAGAAAGGATTTTTAGACTCTAGCCACTTCATCTTATAAATAAATAAACTAATATCAGGAAATGTAAAGAAACTTGGAAAAGGTCACACTGTAATGGTAGCAATAAGTAAACTCATCCTAAGTTTTAATTTCTATTCCAGGGTTATTTTTAGTACTCAAAGAAGCATCATTTTACTTAAAAACCAGAACCAGTTATTTTTGACCCTATATGCAAGGTCAGACTTCAGATACAGACCTTATTTCTCCCCTCCCAATGTGCTCCAATAAGTTTTAATGATAAAACTTGATTTCAATAGCCTTAAGATCTTTAGATTATTAAAAAAAAATACACTAACCAACCAAAAACAAAACAGAAAAACTAGCAAAACAAATCCAGCTATAGACCTAGGTGATGCAGCTTCTGTCATGTTTAATAAAAGCAGTCAGCCAGCTACTTTGAGTCTGACTAAAATAACATGGTAACATGATATATTTCCTTACACGGAATAATTTTTTTTATTGTTTAAAATTCTTTAAATCTTGCCTTGGCAATTTGCCTATTTATTTTCCTTTATCACATTAAAAAAAAACTACCTATAAAAGCAGTCATTTTATAATATAAAAGTTAGGTAATCTGACCCAGAATTTCCCTAAAAGCACAGATAGTTTAGCATGTTAATACAAACTCAAATAACAAGAATAAAATAAGATGCCCTACCTAAAATAACCTTTACCATCATCTTCTTTTATTTCTAGAGACACAGAGAAGGTAAAGATGTCACTGTCAGGAGTCTGAGGTGCAGCAGTTGCTGAAAGTGGGGTCTGCTTGGCAGATCGGCGGAAGGCAGTGGCAAAACTGTAAAGTATCCGGCTCACCTACAACCAGACATGTTAGGAGATGGGCTGTTATCAAAAAAGTAAAATACTTTTTTTAAGGCTGAAGGTGACCTACGGTGTTTGAGGGAGGTAGTTCATCTTTCCTCCACTGATTTCTTTTAATAAATTACCCAATTTATTAGACCTACAAAGCAAACAACACTAAAAATGGCCAGAGTAGAGGCTTTAAAAAAGGAATGACTGTGAACACTAGAAATCCAACTGAAAGATGATTTCCAAAATTGTTAGGAATTACTTGAATATATTTATTGTAATAAAAAATAAGGTTATCTCTATAAGAATGGTTTGCAAATATGTCACTGCTAGAAGCAAGATGCCGATTTAACCCATTTAAACAGCAGCCAATTGGTCTCCTCTGGTGCTCTTAGCAACAACAAGGTTCTTCTGGCTAATAAAACTATTATTCATATTCCAGGCCATCAAGCTGGAACAGACGAAACAGTAGCAGAGAATTTCATCTGGCTTATAAATGACCATAGACAATACTATAAGCGTTTCAATGATGCAAGGGTGAAGATGAAGTTTCATCTGTAGACATTTTCCTCTTAAGTACTTACAGCTTCTTGTATTTCACACCGAAAGACATGTATTCTGAAGAGCTCTGCATTGTAATGACTTTCAGTGAAAGCAAAACAGTCACTCTCAGGAGTTCCATCATGCCCTCTGACACAGAAGAGGATTTTGTAGATAGGGTAGTTTGCTATTTCAGTGTTTGTCTGAGGATCTAAGAGTCTATTCAGAAAAATACATATATAAAGAGATTAGAGGGACTGTGGACAATTTTCACTATGCCCATATTATGATTCAAGACTCATCTTTCTAGCAAAAAGATCACATAAATCATTTCTTGAGCCTGGCAAGCTACAGTTCAAAGAGTCACAAAGAGTTGGAAATGACTGAGCACACACAGCAATTGTATTAATCTTAAATCTTGATAAATAAGTCATACGTGGAGTCTTAAAATAACTGATTACACAATTCCATAGTACTAAAAACTACATAATCCCCTATTTTAGGGAGGCAATCAGAAAAGCATAAATATTAATGTTTCTTAAATAGTCTGTAACAAAATAAAAAATAATGGGTAAATTAGACTACCAAAGTAGATCATTAAAGTTGTGCTTCTCAGTATCCCCTAACAGAATGACCTAAGCTGCTTTATTTTAACAACTAAAATACTGATGTAGTTTCTCAGAGTGAAACATGTTCTTTTGCTTCATGGCAAATAAGGAAGAGAGACTTACAAAACGTTAACACTGAAGAAAAAAAAATTCATTGATAAAATCAAAAGGATGCCATTCACTGAAAATTAAAGGGATATCATTCATTCAAAAGTGTATTCATTCAACAAATATTTATGTGATACCTACACAACATTCCAGGCTCCATCCTGGGCCCTGACAATATAAAAAATTGAAATTGAAATTATGAAGTTATGAAATTATGAAATTTCAACACTGAATGGGCAGAGCCATCAATGGGAAAGCCTAGGAGATAATGTAAATACCTAAGAAGGGGAACTAATCCAAATTCAAAGGCACTTTGATAAAGACTCTGAAAACATGAGGCAAGAGAGACTAGTTTTCTCATGACTTCATAGAATTAAAATATATTAGAACAAAGTATAACTTCAGCCAGGGGAATGACTACTGACTAAGAATCATATAAAAATGAGTTTTAGGGAATTCCCGGGCAGTTAGTGGTTAGGACTTGGTGCTTTCACTGAAGTTGCCCAGGTTCAATTCCTGGTCAGGGAATTAAGATTTCATTAGTTGCATCAAGGCAAAAGAAAAAAATTTTTAAAAAAGCTAAATAAATGTTATTAAGCTTCACATTAATAAATATAATTAAAATTAGTATTTGTGAATCTTTGCAAAATAGTTCTTTAAACATTCAAGAGAAGAATTACATAGGCAGATTACTGGAATATTAATTAACTTACTAAGTACTATCCATATGCAGCTACAACTCTACTACCATAAAAATACAAAATGCTTGAGGGTACAGAAACAGATATTCTCATATACTCCTAAAAAAGGTACAAACTAGATCAGTATTTCTAGATGGCCATTTGGCAATGTATCAAAAACCATAAAAATGGGCAAATCTTTGACCCACCAGTGAATCTACTTCGAGGAACTGATCCTAAGGAAATTTAAAAATACATAAAAAGTTAGCTCAAAAATACTACTTATAAGAAAATTACAGGTAAAGCACTTAAGTAAGTGAAAGTCGCTCAGTCGCGTCTGACTCTTTGCAACCCAAAGAACTATACAGTCCATGGAATTCTCTAGGCCAGAAAACTGGAGTGGGTAGCCTTTCCCTTCTCCAGGGGATATTCCCAACCCAGGGATCAAACTCACGTCTCCTGCATTGCAGGCAGATTCTTTACCAGTTGAGCCACAAGGGAAGCCCAACTTACATGCCTATATAATAAAAGTTTAATATTAGCTATGATTAATAGCACTTTTATCATTAAAACAACTAAAATATGTAACATTAGACTGATTATTTCTGAAAAGCCCATCATGTGCCATCATCAATTATAATATTTAAGCATATTTATTGATATGGAAAGATTCACAATACAAAAAAGCATTATGTAATTCTACTGTTGTTAAAAATGTTGATTCTAAGAGCTGTGTAATTATACTTGCATATATATGTAGGTATATACACATAGACACAAACAAATATACCTACAACTACACAAACAGCGTCTTAATAAACCAAGGTGTTAACTGCTATTTACCAATGGGGGAGTAGAATTAAGAGCATTTCCTAACCTAAAACATGTCACAATGAACTTATCTACAAAACAGAAGCATAGAGAATAAACTTGTGGTTGCTGGGGGTCGGGGGCGAGGGAGGGAAGGACCAGGAGTATGGGATTAGCAGATGTAAACTATCATATATAGGATAAACAATAAGGTACTACTGTATAGCACAGGAAACTATATTCAATGTCCTGTGATAAACCACAGTAGAAAAAAATTTAACAAAAAGAATGTCTATATGTGCATAACTGACTCACTCTGCTATATAGCAGAGACTGGACAACACTGTAAATCAACTATACTTCAATAAAAAAGTTAAAGCAATTTTCTGAATTTTTGCTTATTTGTGCTCTCTGATTTTTCTGAAATAAGTATGCATTTTTAATAACAAAGCTAGTTCTGTATTTAGTTAGCCGATACAGACATCTGACTGACTACGTTTAATCACTGTGACCTGTTTCAGTTAGTATAAACTGACCTGTTTTCAGTTAGTATAAACAACAGCCATATCATGAGACTTCTCTGAGCTTCAGTTTCCTCATCTTAAAAATTTAGGAACTACACTGAAATAGTTAATATTTACCAACAGATTCCTGTAATTTCCAAAGTCGGCATGAAATTTCATATTGAACTAATGTGTCAAGCTAGTATTCGTATTGGGGGCACATGGAAAATATAAATTGTTAGGCAGACTCTTCAGTCAACATATTTCAATAGTCCCCAAAACACTTAAATTTCTAAAGTGCTACAAAGAATTGGGGTGAGGAAGGGTATAAGAATCTGCTCAAACAAGTGACTATTTTTCATAAAAGGTCACAATTCTTGGAAGACATGAAAACTAAACGCCAAATGAATTAACCACTACACGAATAAAATAATTATGTATTTTGTTCACTACTGCTTTGTTATAAAACTATAGGTCAGAAATCTGATCAAATGCTACAAATATTTCTAGAAGGCTGGTCTTACCTCACAGTTCCTTCAGATACGTTCGGCACTGACAGGGTTACATCAAGTGAGATCTGACATTGGCCCCTTAAGATGGACATCATCCTCAAGGCTTCTACTTCACTCCTGGGAGCATTTACTGAGGCACAGCCTAAATAAGTTAGTTTGCTGAAAACTACACTGTCCTCATCTGCCACTGGTGTGAAAGGACTTGACCTTTCAGAATCTGAAAGAAACAATAAAGAAGTGATTATCTTCACTTTGATATTTTGTTAACATGAATACTAAGTAAAAATCTACAAGCTATTGTTTAGGTTCTAAAATTAAATTCATCACTTTCCCAGAAGAAAATTAAAGTCAGAAATCTCACACCAGAACCTGTCCCCAACACTAAAATTTTTAGTATGGCTATAGTTTCAATCCTAAACCTAAATGGTGACCTGAGATTCAGATCTGAATTCTCTCTCATAATTTGTTTTGACTTTCTATTTAGGTCAGTAATACATTTAGTATTTTACCACCCTGAAAAATCCTTTCTTCTTTCTCATCTGTTCTATTATAATGATTTTTCTAATTCATCATCTTAAGTTACTTTATCATGTTCTCTCAGTTTCCCTGCCTTTCCTTTCCCAATGAACATTTACAGTTTTAATACTCTACTTTTCCTCAAAGAGCCTTCATAATTGTCCTTTTCCTCCTTGTCTTTCAGCTCCCTTTTTTCAATTTGAGAACTATTCCCACCAAGCCATACAACAGGCCTGAGGCAAACATTTTCTTCCCCAAGAATTATTTCTCTACTTCCCCAGTCAGTCAGTTCAGTTCAGTTGCTCATTCGTGTCCGACTCTTTGCAATTCCATGGACTGCAGCACACTAGGCTTCCCTGTTCATCACCAATTCCCGGAGCTTACTCAAACTCATGTCCATTGAGTTGGTGATGCCATCCAACCATCTCATCCTCTGTCATCCCCTTGTCCTCCTGCCAATAATCAATTTCCCCAATACCATACTCATATTATTTTTTCCTAAAAAAAAAATCTTTAAACACTCTAACACTGCCTCACTGTTATGTAACTGCTGTGTTTTTTTTTTTTTTTTTCTTTGCTATAAATGACATACATTTAGACTGGACATATGCATGACTGATTCACTGTGCCTTCCATCTGAAACTAACACAACACTGTATATCAACCACACACCAATAAAAAAAAATTTTTAATGACATACATTTAAAGGGAAATCAGAATGGTACATGTATTTATTTCTCTCACATCCCCCTCAATCTAGAATCTGAAGATTCTAGATAATACAGATATGGTCTTTGCTTGCTCTGCATCAAACCAAGTACAAAATGGACACTCAAATATTAAAAACAATAACCTTCAGTTATGCAAGCAATGCAGCAATCCTAACCTCCTTGTCCAGGTTTCACCGGCAGGCTCATCTCTGGTTTCTGGAGCCCTACTAATGACACAGGGTTAATGGTGGATGAAGCTGAGAGTTGATTAGGAAGAGGCCCATCTCCTTCGCCATCCAGCTGTGACCTTTCCACAAGCTCCTTGTCCCCTGGCTGGTCGTCCATTGGAGGATCCATTAGCACATCTGCTAGCTCTTTTTGCAGCTGCTGTTCACTTCCATTCCCTATAATCTAAGGGTCATAAATATATGCAATCAGCAAAGTGAGAGAGAGAGGCCAGTACTGATTAAAATGGGTCCACATCTAGAGAAAATCATTAGCAATTCTTTTGATATATAGATATCTTCTGAATGTTTTTAAAAAATAGAATAAAGCAATATCTGCAATAAATAAGAGCTGCAGCTGTTCTCTCAATTCATACAGATTTTCATGAAAAAGTGTACAGTGAATTTGAGACGAATACCCAGATAATCTGTCAATTTTATTGAAAGTTTTGTACAGTGTTCTAAAATCACAACAACTAAAATTTTTGTAATTTTACTTGTCTGGTAAGAAATAAGCTTATTAAGGGAAGCTTCTCTTATCCTTAAGGAAAACAGAAAATGTGTTTGCTTCCAAAAATTACCAGTACAAACATATGTACTGGGTAATAAACCATCACATGCACTTTACCACCGTTGAGATAAGGAAGTCTCTTAAGGGAGACTTCTCTGACATAAATAGTTCTTAAAGTTCTCAACACTTGAATAAAGCTGGGGAGATGTAAGTAGAAAATGACCCTGAGGAACAGAAGCACTCCATTTCAATGTCAAGGATTTTTCTAGAGTCATGATGGTTTATTATTGTTGCTCAACAAGGAAGTAAACAAGTACAAGATCAAGTGAAGACTACACAATGTTAAGGAAAACCACAAGTGAGAAAACCCAGCATTATCATTAAATGCTTATTCAAGAAACACTAGAAAAATTAACAAGAGAATTAATGCAGGAAAAGGAAATCATGAGAAAAAAAAAGTACTGATTTAGGCGAGTTTCTAAAGACCAAAACCTGACAAAAAGTTTAAATGAGTGGGGCTATGAGACTGTTAAAGACAAAGAGGTCTTCACAGTACAATTAAGACACAAGTTAGGAAGCAAAATTCCAACAGCAGCAATACTCTACCTACCAAGACTACCTACCAAGCAGACTACCTACCCAGGAACCCAGTTCAAACATTTTTTGTAACTCTATAAAATTCAAGTCCCGTTCGCTGTAACCTATGATTGAGAAACAGTGGCAAGTCTTTTTTGCTACCTTTTCCCAACATGAGCCATTCTTGCCTTGGAAAAGAGGACTGGAGAAGTATTCGGTCTCTGGCTGCAATGAAAGAGTCTGTCCTTAACTTCCATTTCTATTCAGAGTTACTGCTATAGGACTACAATTCAGTCAAGTATTTTGAACTCTCTGCTCTACCTGAGTCTACACACCACAAGTGCAATCAAATTCTTTTTTTCAGAAGTTCTGCTTTCAAAAGTTTCCTAAAGCACATAAATAACAACCTAGAACTTAGCTCCAATTAGTCTAATTTTTAAGAATTGGGTAAGATATACTGTATCACATGCAATAAATAAAAGAAAGACTAAGTGAACCTAAACTATTTTCCAAGGGGAAAGAGAAATAAGTAGGATAGCTAGAGCTTCCTATAACTGATGAAGATATTAGACTCCGTGTTTAAGCAATAGTAATTTTAATTGGGAAGGCTATCATTAAAGAGCAAGCTAAACTGAAGACATATTTCACATGCTATGAGGTACTGTTTTTTCTTTGATAATATAGGATAAATAAACTTAAGTTTTCTTTTAGATAGGCTACCTCCATTGTAATATAATCACAAAACAAATCACAAACCCTGAAAGAAACATGTTTATGTGTTTGTCTTCCGTGTTTATACATGTTTATCTTCTATTTTTCCCTTGTTTATAAGATCTACAAACGTAAGAACTGCCTTCTATTAACACTTCCTTAAAGGGTAGGAAAACTAAAGCACCACACAACAATGCTGATTTCTAAAAGTTGCTTAAAAACAGCAACCTAACTTATGCTGTGAATAATTAGTTCCAAAACAGTACTCAACACTTACCATTTAGATCATTTGTGCACCTTCAATCCAATTTCAAACTTAACTATGTGTGACATAATTTATTTAATAATACTTATCTCAATTAAGTTTTTTTTTTTTTAAACAGTAAATTAATCTGAATGTTTCCATATGGGAAACGTTCAGCAATGCCTTTCAAGGTTCCCTAACTTTGGCAACTGAAGAATGTGGTAAAACACAATCTGTTGGGCCCCAGCAGAATTCCTATTCAGTAAGGCTGGCATAGGACTGATGATTAGAATTTTTAAAGTTTCAAGGTGATGGTGATGTTGCTAGTCTGGGAACCAACCTTAGATTAATGATTCATGACTACACAATACAATTATCAATATCATCAGGAAGCATGTTAAAATTAAAATACTTGATCCTCCCTCTATTCACTTACCTCCTACCCTAGCAACTAAATTAGTCTCAGAGATAAAGCCTTGGCATATGCATTTTAAAGAACCTTCACAGGTGATTTACAAAACGGTTGTCAGGCCAGATGAGGCCAGCAGGGTAGTTCACCCATCCTATAAATGAAGAGCTTAAACCAGCAACTGTTTATCTCTGACTTCCTGTCATAACAGAAAAATAAACTCATTTTCTGTTTCTAGATGCCAACAGCACTCTAAACAGATACCATGATCATCTCTAAAATAAATGTAGTTGCAGCTAAAGCAATCAAGATACTGGTATTAGTGAAAGGACAGCTATATAGACCAATGAAACAAAACAGAACTCAGAAATAGACCTACACATACACGGCCAATTGGTTTCAACAAAGTTGGCTAGGTAACTCAAGAGAAAGGTAATAAAGTAAAACAAACGGTGCTGGAACAACTAACCTGACACCAAACACATGCAAGAACATCCATTTCTTACATCACATACAAAAATTAATGCAAAATGGATTGCAGATCTAAATGTAAATCTGAAAACTATAATGTTTACAGAAGAAAACACATAGGAGAAAGTCTTTGTGATCCTGGGACACAAAGATTTCTTAGGACGCAGAAAGCATGCATAAAGGAAAAAAAATGAAGTGCACTTTTATGAATGCGTACAGCAGCATTATTCATAACTGCCAAAAGCTGAGTACAAAGTAAATGTTTATTAAGTGGTGAATGGATAACTTCCTCAGAGCTATACAATTGAATACCAGCTCAGATGGTAAGGCGTCTACCTACAATGCGGGAGACCCAGGTTCAATCCCTGGGTTGGGAAGATCCTCTGGAGAAGGAAATGGCAACAACCCACTCCAGTACTCTTGCCTGGAAAATCCCATGGACAGAGGAGCATGGTAGGCTACAGTCCATGGGGTCACAGAGTCGGACACGACTGAGCGACTTCACTTTCACTTTCAGCAATAAAAAGGAATGAATTACTAATATTAAAACAACATGGGTAACAATAAGAATTATTCTAAATAAAATAAATAAACACAAAAGGCTATGTACTGTATGATTCAATTTACATGGCATTCTGAAAAAGGCAAAACTATAGAGACAGAAATCAGATTGACAGAGGCTGGGATCGGGAAAAACGATAGACTAAAAAGAACTGTTAAAGGGACTTTCCAGAGTAATGAAAATATTCTGTATCTTGATTATGGTTGTGATTACATAATAACAGTTTACATTAAAATTCATAGAACTGTATACCTAAAAGGGCCGTATTTTACTGTGTGTAAATTTTACCTCAATACTTTCTTTCTTTTTGGCCATGCCGTGCAGCATATGGGGCTCTTAGTTCTCCAACCAGGGATCAAACCCAGGCCCCCTGTATTGGAAGCTCAGAGTATTAACCACTGGACTGCCAGGGAAGTCTAATTTCTAAAGAGACTTGACTTAAATTAGAAAGGGGATAATGATAATAGGAGAGGCTATGCAATGCAGAGGTTATATGGGAAATCACTGTTCTTTTTTCTTAATTTTGCTGTGAATCTAAAACTGCTCTTCAAAACAAAGGCTGTTTTTTTTTTTCCTTTTATTTTTATTAGTTGGAGGCTAATTACTTTACATCATTACAGTATTTTTTTTTATACATTGAAATGAATTAGCCATGGATTTACATGTATTCCCCATCCCAGTCCCCCCTCCCACCTCCCTCTCCACCCGATCCCTCTGCGTCTTCCCAGTGCACCAGGCCCGAGCACTTGTCTCATGTACCCAACCTGGGCTGGTTATCTGTTTCACCCTAGATAATATACACATATATATGGACTTTAGAAAGATGGTAACGATAACCCTATATGCAAAACAGAAAAAGAGACTCAGATGTATAGAACAGACTTGTGGACTCTGGGAGAAGGCGAGGGTGGGATGTTTCAAGAGAACAGCATTGAAACATGTATATTATCTAGGGTGAAACAAAGGCTGTTTTTTTAAAAACAGGAAAAAAATGTGATTTCTATGAAAGATGCAACTTGAGAACACAGCTGTTCCTTTCCCCTACAACAGGCCTCAAAACGTGTTTATCCAGGATTTTGTTTTTGGCAATAACTTCATTTTACAGATTTTCCAATGCCATTTAATCCACTCCAACAATATATAAACAATCCCTAATATGCACCTACAATCCCTTTCCCTCTCTGAACAGACACCTTCAGGTAGATACTCCAAACTTACTGTGTCAAAACTCTAATCCTCTTCCCATCTTTTTTTTTTTAAATCAATGAACTGCACTATTATCCATCCACTCAGTGACCAAATGAAGGATTAGTCATCCTTCATCCCTCTCACTCACACACTACTCACAAATCCTACTGATCCTTGATCAATTATGCATTTCCCTCCATCTTTCTGCATAGTTAACACTATAGGAACCTCTTTAGATTTACATAAGCCTATTGGAAAGGTAGTGGTTTCCATGCCTTCTTTCTCCTCTCTGATCTATCCTTCATTTGGCCAGTTAAGTTACAACTGCAAATCTTACTTCTCATCAAGCACTGCCTTATTTTTAACCTCTTCCATGTTTCCTCAATGTCCATAAGACAAAGCCCAAAACCATCTCTATGTTTTATGAGTTTCTCAAAACCCTGTCTAATTACCTTCTCATCTCTTAACAGTCATACCAAGCCACTCAAATTCCCCAAGACACATCACAAACTTTC